TACTGGCATGCTTCTTTCAATCATTAGCTTAATCTGCCCTCAACCTCCAAGAGTTATTCTGCAGTAAGTAATTTGTCATGGGAAAGTTTGGAGCATTAAACTTCAGGATGTGGATTACTTGTGTAATGTATGTGTCAGGATGTGCTTAATGCTTATTTTGCATGCAGTGGTGCCATACTACTTACTGACAGTAGAGGCTAGAAATCAGATCTCACGCTGCCTGGAAGAGTGTTCTATTTCTCAAGTTAGAGTGTGGGTTTTTTCCCTATTTACTTCAATTTGTTTTGAAGAATTGGATATAAATTGAAGGAAAGGCATGCCTAAACATCCCACAGGCCATGGTCAGGGAATTCACTTAAGCAGAAGTTTGATCTAAATTCTGCCTTGAACTGGGCAGATAGTGGTTCTTCCCTCTTGGCTTAGAGCAATGCTAATACTTATGGTTTCAGTAGGGACGTGGAAATGGTTTTCTGTATTTTCCCCTCATTTCTCATTTCCCTCATTAATGAGGGAAAAATACAGAAAACCATTTCTGCTAAAAGAAGAGACATTAGCAGCATTAGGATTGTTGTCAAGAAATGGAGAGGTTGTGGTTATCTTACTACAATTTTTCTAATCGTTTTTTTGGTTGTTATTTTGATACTAATTTTTACCTCCTATCCAAAATTTTCTACCATTTGCATACTTATTTAGAGCATGGAATTGCATTTAGTGAGGGCAGTATGTACACTCTTAGCCTTGGACAATGCAGTGCATGCATGATGGTTCTTGGCATCATAACTTGATGACTTGAAGAACTGAGTCTTAACCCCCGCCTTCAGATTCGTTGTTCGTTGTAGAAGGTGGCAAATCTAAAACAGATAACCATGTTGCACCACACAAAAATTCTCAACACATGTAGGAAAACTATACTACTTACCCGTAATACAAACCTTCTCTGTGATCTCTTTATTTCTCCAGTTTCTTCATGGAGGATTTGTATCAAACTCTAAATGTTTAAAATAAAGTAATAAAAATATTTTATATGACACAGATTAAGAGAATCTAAACGAACACCCCAGGCATGCTTTTGTCCTGTACCATTCCCAGAATTTGTCCAGACAGCAGTTCTTTGTGTGGAACAATACATATGGCTTTGTACGATTATGGAGTTTGATCATTAGGCAGCAAACCCATTTAGCACTTTTTGCTCTTTTCTAAACCTTATCAAGTTTCCAGATAGGCACCTCTTCCAAATACAGGAATAGGTATATAAGTGTAAAAAAAAAACCAAAACAAAACACCCAAAAAAACTAACTTTTTTTTTTTTTCACCGTCTGAAGGGATGCATTTATGGTTTAGCTGTAATTATAAAATGTTTTAGAATTTTTGGAACAGTTGCCTTTGCTAAAAGTGCTAATGATTGCAACTATGTTATAGATATTTTTATTTACTTTGGATTCTTTTTTTGTAACATCTGTTACCTTTAAGAGACTGAAGAGGCTAATGCAGCATTGATGTAAAGGTTACTTGCTGTCTTCAGACACAGTTAGTTGCTAAGCTGAGGTTCATGCTATCTGATGTTAAGTTTTACTCCCAAGAGACTTAGAGAATAGCTATTTTCCAGTGCAAAGCACTGTCATGTTTTTACCTTTCTTTATTTGTATAAATACACAAAACTTTTCTTTAATATTTCAGAATGCAGTTGTTAACAGATAGCCCTGAAAATCCTTTTTGATATCATATGTTCAGTGCAGGCCTATGGTACCATGCTTTCCCACGGTTTATCAGCCAGGCTGTTTACCAAATCTGACACTGGAGATCCATTTGAAAAATGAGAGAGTAATTTAGATACAAAAAGCATTTAATGCTTGGTACTTCACCATTCTTCTTGTGAATCGTGGTCCACATTGTTTGGTGTACATTGCTTGATTCCATTGAAATTCAGTTAATGGAGGTGCACTGATTTATATCAGCTAAAAAGTTATGACTTCAAGAGAGCTTCATTTTAAGAACAGATGTTGACTGTGGGTTTGTATGTTTAGAAATGAGGGTCTTTAAACCGTCATCATTAATTTTCTCTGACTTGTGTGCCTCTCCTTTGTTAATTCTATACAGACTTACTCTACAGAATTGCAATTTGAGGGAACTTATGACAAAATTGCTTTTGTCTAGCCTGAGGTGGGTAACTGTGCCAGTAAGAAGACTTAGGATGCCTAACATAAGGTTTTTTACACTGAAGGGTTGTTATATTTACTGAAGAAATCAGCAACCTAAATGCAGTCATAACTGATCCATTCAGCACTTCCCATGTAGAAGAGTGCTTTCTATTTTATCAGAAGTGGTGCCACAGAGACTAATATGTGCTCTTACAGTATAGAATTTGATGCAGTATAGCATTCAATACCAAACATAAAGTTAGCATACCTCTTAACAATGAAGGTTACAATAAATCAGTTCCACTGTCAAATCCCATTTAAGATGAAGTCAGGTAAAGATCATTAGTTTTAAGCACATTCTAATTAGCAATTTGTATGTTGTTATATGGATACTTTGAATTAAATGTTTTAAATTAACTCAAGTTCTTTCATCTTCCCCTCTGATGTATAGCTTAGCCTCTATCACTCTGTAATTGTTCTAGGCAGAGGCCTTTTAAGTGGTATTTCCTGTACCCATTTGAACTCTGATTTCTGAATGTGCAAAGGTTTAGTGAAAAGCAAAACTAAAAATACTTTGGAAATTGGGATTCATGATATAGCTGATCAAAGGTATGTTCACATCAAAGGGTTTCTGACAGCAATCACAGTGCCAGGGTGTTGCATATAACCAGAGTACAATGCAACTTTACGTTTACATATAGGACTAACAACATTTTAAGAGCTTTTTCAGTTATAAGGAAAGATGAAAAATCAGAAATAGAGATGCAGCAAATTAATTGAGATTGACAAATAATCATTTCACTCAGATTTTCAATTTTTGCAGCTCAGTGACACAGTATAAATAAATCTAGAGAGCTGGAAGAGTTCCTTGCCCAGTTCAGCTACGTTTTCTTCCAGTTTATCTGGAAATACAGAAACAATCAGCATCTAGGAAAAGCATGTAAACGTTTTGGCTTACAAGTCTGTAATTTTTTGCACAACAATTCAGTGAAAACATAAATAAGAAATTTTGCTGTACCTGGCTGGAAGTCTTCACTGATACATTTAGAGTTTGAACCGGGAAAAAACCAACAGGGAAACGTTCCTGACATTGACCACTGAGAATAATTAGATGTGGATGTGGAGATGATGAGTAGTAAATTCTAGAACATTTTTTCCTGATGCTTTGACAGGTATTTGTTATCACACTTACAGCTGTCTGTCTTAATATTGTTCACAACCATTTTCTGTTGATGCTTGTCTGTTAACCAAGAAACAAAATCGTGCAAATGAATAATCTAGTCCAATAAAAACCCTGGTTCAAAAAAAAACGGTGACATCCTGCTGCTCAATGCTGAATGCATTCATGTATTTAATTTTAAATCTGTGAGATAAAGATTTAATTTAAAAAAAAGGAAAAATTAATGTATAACTTCACTCAGCAGAAGATGGGATTGAAGCTGAGAGAAGGTGAACACTTAAAATTTGGAAATTCAGCTAATCAAAAAGCCTACAGAGGCTTTCCTTACATACAAGTATGAATGTGCCAAGTTCATTTGAGTTCTTCCAATCATGTTAGATATACCAAAATAAAAATTAAAGGTCATTTCTCTCACTGGTGCACATTGTGTTTTACCACAGTTGCAGTGCCCTAGGCTGAAGGTCATAATTTCTATGTGGTTCATTCATGCATTTTGAATGCAAATAAATGCTCCTATAGCAAAATGAGGATTTAAAAAAAAATAATCTTGCTGTTTTGCTATTTTTTTCTCATCTGTTTGTTCACACTGCTGCTTACACAAATTAAGATGAAATCATATTTATAGTTATAGAATAGTTGAAGCTGGAAGGTGCACGTCTTCAGGAGCACACCACAGTTTCCATTGACTTCAGTAGGACACTCTCTCGTCTCAACAACTTAAAATTAATTTCTGTAATAAAAAAATATATTGCAAAGAAAGTAAAATAAGAGAACAACCATGAAAGCAAGTGATGATTGTTCAATTTATCAAAGATTTTTTCACTATATGTTCGTTCACATTTCCTTTTCTGTAGAACCATGGCCTGAAAGTAGTCAGTAATGCAAAACTAAAGTCTTCAATACACAGTGTATGCTTGATTTAAGAGAAATACTTGTTCTACACTACTTCCACCTCCATTATGAATTTTCTAGATACAAAATTACTATTTTGCTGAATTCAGAGTAATCATTGGATAGAAGCAGGTAGTTCCTAGAAAATAATTTTGAGTAGTGGCATCATTCTACCTCTTTTTTACGCTAAACACTGTTTTTTGAATGCTATTAAATATGTTAATTTGAACTGTAGTCATGAAAGTAAATTTCATCATCTCTACTATCGTTGAATGCATTTGGGAAATTAAGAAACAGCGTAGTGCTGTTATCTTATTATGCTTGCTTTAAAGAAAACTTTAGTCCCATAGCCACCATTTAGGAATTTATCAACATTTGACTTTGGAAAAGAAAAAGGTTCTTACAGATTTTTGAAGGAGTATAACTATGGGATATTACTTTCTCACAAAAATTATGTGAATCTTGCTTCAGATAAATAGATTAGGTTTTTGTACAATCAAAATTCTGCATATCTGTTTCTCCTAGCAAAACTCAGAATGCTGCAAGCACTGTTTTAATATTTAACAACTTAATCGTTCTAATAAAATTAATGAGCTTTGAAGGTCAACATTGTCCATACTTAGGAAAGGAAAAAATGGTCTCAAAGACTTGGTAAGTAGCTTACTACTGTGTTAAAATTCAACATGAATTGCTCAACTTCAGAGACATTAAGTCATACACACCTCACAGTGCGTAATGGAGAAAAAGAAGTAGGTGAAACTCAATTAATTGGCATCTTTCTTTATTGACAGGCTAGTAAAGGATGCCCCGTGGGATGAGGTCCCTCTCGCTCACTCCTTAGTTGGTTTTGCCACCGCGTATGACTTCTTGTACAGCTATCTTAGCAAGATTCAACAGGAGAGATTTCTTGAGGTAATTGCCAATGCCTCGGGATATATGTACGAAACATCATACAGACGTGGATGGGGTTTCCAGTACCTCCACAACCACCAGCCTACCAACTGTGTGGCCCTGCTGGCTGGAAGCCTGGTTCTGATGAATCAAGGTATGTGCTAAACCATAGGAATGTTTTCCTGAAGTGTATCAACTCAATCAGCCATTTATGCAGCAAAGTTTAGGAACTGATAGAAATGCTTCCGAGAGTACAGCAATATTGGGTTTGCTCTTTTGCTGCTTAGCAACATTTAATTTACTGAACAGAACAAAAGACTGTGGGCAGACATACAAGGTATAATATACATGCATATATACCTGTATATATAAATTCAATTATCTAAGTGATTCTGAAATTCTTACCTGACTGTAAGAATTAAAAATCCCCTTGTGTATAGTCTGTCCAGTCCAGAGTTACAGACAGGGTCTTTCAGGGTAGCTCATCAGCAGAGCCATCCACTTCGTCTCCGTACACAACACATCGAGAAGGTCAGCACTCAGGAACACCCCACCCACTGAGCTGGGAGCTAGACAACAGGATAACCTGGAATTTCATCCAGGTCTTCTGTCCTGTCTCCCTGAGAGAGTTGCAAAGGTGTAACTTTATCCACCCAAAAGCCACAGCTCAGGACCTTTCCTTGCAGCATCCTTTTCTATGGAGATGAGCAGGGCTTTACCTTTTTCCCTCTGAACTATGCCCTTGCACCCCATAACCTTCATCCAGGAGGTGTCCATGCCAGATGTCATCTCCTTCTTTGCTTTGGGGACTTAAACCCATCCTTCCCAGTTCCCAGGTGGATGATGCCAATATCACCAGTTGCTTTTGGCTGCTCTGCCTGGGGGCTATCCCTCTCCTCCTGTCTTAGGTGATACACAGTGTAATCGAGAATGCAAGTCACGGAGTCAGAGAGAGCAGTTAAGAAATCCTGACTTTAAACCCCAGCCTGCTTCGGCTGAGAGGTGGAAGTCATGAAGCCAGCTCCTGCTTTTGTAAGAATTCATCAATATTTTATCAAGTGGTTATTTAATATGTGCTAGAAGTATTTTGAAAACGTGATGCCCAGTGAAACTACTGACTTGCTGCAAGTTACGGAAAATCTATTTTCTGGATGCTGATAGTGTTGCGAAGCTGTTCAGCCCTGCCAAGCAAAGGCACATCTGCACATCGCTGGAGTTTTCAGACGCCCAAAGAAGTGTGACAAAAAACTGTGGCACCTGCTGTGTTTGGGGGGTCATCTTTTTGTTAAGTGTTTGTCAAAACAAGCGCATTCACTGATGTGCGTATGCTGAAAAGCAGCAAGAGTATGTGTGGAAGTTATGCTCTTTCCTCCTATCTTGCCTTCCACAAATTGAAGACTCAGACCATGTTTATTCAGTGGGTTTTGCTGAATTCCTCCGAATTCTATCCTTTGCTGAGCCTCCATTGGTGCAGGAAGCTGGCAGTTTGCAAAATAATTCTGCTTTTCATTAGAGTATAGGCCATAAGTGTTCTTTGTGCCAAACAACGGTAACATGACAAATAAGTTGGACAATATTTCTTTCACCAAAGGTTGGTGGGGTTTTTTTGGGGAAAAAAAAAAAAGTGCAAATTCAGCAACACTTGAGCAATTTGAAAATAGTGGTGATATTTCAAATGAAGATAGGTCAAATCAGACTGTATATTTCTAGATGAAAATTCGGTTGTTTTCAATATAGAGGGACTTTATTTAAAAAAAAAAAAAAAGGAAATTTAAATGAAGCTATTCTGTTGCTCTAAAATAAAAAAAAAAGTTTAAAAAAAATTCTTATTCCAAGAGGAAAGACTTTTTGTGAAGGAGGAAAAAAAAAAAAGGGAGGGAGCATTCTATTCTTCCTGTATCAGATGCATAGCAATTTCAAATAGCGTATCCCAATGTAGACCTTTCTCCCAAAAGGTTTAAATTCCTACTAATAATTTTAAACATAATTCAGCTATTGAAGCATGCAGAGACTAAATAGCCAGGTTAAAAACATGTAAACATTGTCATAGGACTGAAAAGTGAAACTAATTGAAATGAATTCTAGACACACACATATACTGAAGTCTTTGTAGTTAAAGTAAACATTCAGATATTTAAAAAATCACTTGAGTAAGGCCTAACTTGATGTAGATACTGTTAATTTATGTGAGATTTGTTCTGTAGCCTGACAGAGTGTTGAGTCTCTTTTTTTTTTCATTCTAATGTGTTATTATTCTTTTAATACACTACAAGTATGAGGTTATAGCATAGATATACACTAGGTAAACAGAGTGTATATTCATTACAATGGTAAAGGCACTGTGCTGACCCATGGAAAGTACCATTCTTGCTAGTGCAGCAGTCAAAAGCTAGCTATTGTGGCTGTTATGTCACAAGGTCAAACAAGGGTGGAAGCATTTGGAATTTTATTCAGACAGACTGCTGTGCTGCCAACTCCATCAGAGTAATGAAGTAGTGTCAAGATATCTGTGAGTAAAGTAAGTGGAAGTAAGTAGCACCACCTGCCCCTGTTGCTCAGGCCTTCCCCATCGTAGTTACCTCTTCAGCCAGTGGATAAAAATACCATCTTAGATTCAGGTTGTCTGTTTAACTTGGACATTACAGTTGTTTTTTCTCTCTGTTAACTGAGCAGGATTTGGCAGCCCTGACTAGTAGGATGTCTGAATTGCTCATCACTCTGCTGAGCATAAATACAGTAATTGCGGCAATGACATGAAACAGGTCAGGTAGCAGGTTTGAATGTAGCTCATACTGCCTTAGTGGCACGTGCGCTCCATTCAGCCAGCACCGCTTCACCATGTAATGGGGTGTAATGCATGCCAGCTGAGCTCTGCTATATTGTGGAAATAAGTCTGGTTAAATCTGGGTCCAGACACGTTTAGTTGGGTAGACACTAAGTTGCCATGTAGAAGCGCAAGGCAGCTGGTCTCTATTTAGTTCTACCTCTCTTGCCAGTGAATCCAAAAGCAAAGAGAAGGCACATAGCCTTTCCTCTGCTGGGATCCACATGCTGCCTCCTGCGATACATAATTGCAGTGCTGAGGCTCCCGTGCTTGTGCTTGTTCCTTAGGGAAGGCAGATGAGACCTGAGAAGGTCTTCTTGAAACCTCTTTCCAGGTCTTGATTTGTATAGAGCAGACCAAAATAGTAAGATCTCTCAAAGTCTTTTCTTTAGAAGAAATATAGCTCTTTAGGGCTTGTATATGTGGAGGCTGAAAGTTAACCTAGTTGGAAGATTAATTTTATTCTGGAACTGAGGAATCTGCATTTGAAATTAACCATGCAAAGTTTTTCCAAAATAACTTCTATTTGGATAACCCTTTAGGTTGTACAACAAACTGAAAATGTAAGTAGAACAGAGCATGTCTTAAAATACAACCTGAATTAGTAGAATATCAGTTAACTGCTGTTCAAATGTGAACTTCTTTGTAATTTTAAACTCTGAGGATCTCCTTACCACACTGGTGATCATACCAATGAAAAATGACTGATTAGAATGTTTGCATTATTGGAGCCCTCTAGTGGGGACTGTAAGTTTGCTTTCATACAACTTTAACTTGAAATATAATAAATAGTCTTGGCATGGCTCTTCCCTTTTTGGATGTCCTGGATGCATTAAGGAAATTTTCCTTTTTGGATGGAAAGGGTAATCCTACATTATTAGCAAAAGGTGTTTAATAGATTTTCCCTGCTCACGTGACCTTGCTTTGCTGCATTTAAATACAGTAGTTTATTTTTTACCCTAGAACTACAGGGACACTGAAGCACTAGGTGGTATTTTAGAGCTCTGGATTGCAGATTCCTTGCTGTAAAGGATCCCACTGTGGGAGTACAGATGACATAATCTATGGCCTATGGTGTCGTAATCAGATTTGCCAACATCTTTTTCTTTCAGGCTACCTTCAGGAAGCTTACTTGTGGACCAAGCAAGTGTTGGCAATCATGGAGAAGTCAGTAGTCCTACTGCAGGAGGTCACAGACGGCTCACTCTATGAAGGGGTGGCCTATGGCAGCTACACAACCAGATCGCTGTTTCAGTACATGTTTCTTGTCCAAAGGCACTTTGATATCAATCACTTCAGCCACCCCTGGCTCAAGCAGCACTTTGCATTTATGTACAGGACTGTCCTGCCAGGTAGGTCCTTTGGGCAAATGAAGATGAATCTTCTAATTCTTGAAGCAGCAGTAAATTTCATACTTCAAGTAGGCCATTTTCAAATAACATTGTACTTGGATTTTACCTTCATCATCCATTGAAACAGTGACATCCTTGTTTATCACTGCTTATTAAAGATCATTGTTGATTAAACTCTGTCTTTTAAAACCAGTCAAAAGATAGGAACATTGTGTGGGAGAAAAAGCAATGGTTCAGAATTTGAGTTCTGGTTTTCAGAGTTTGAAACAGACCTGTTTCTGGGGGTTTCCATTTGAAAAATAATATTCTTTGAGATCCTTACTGATTTTTCCCTTTGCTAAATATCATCACACTGAAATACTGGGTGAAAGGAATAGAAAGACAGGGTAAAAATATCAACAAAGAATAGGAAAATTTTGTATGATCACCAGTTTTCCACAAAACATTGGAATAGATTTTTATACCATTTTTATTAAAATATTTTTCATATGGAAAATGGAATTTACTCAAATAATAGGTTTCTCTTTGCAGGTGTGCACAAACCATTTTCTTTTTTCAATGTGAGAATTAAACAGAAATATCTGACATCACTAATGGGTCAATTTTGCAGACTTTTCAGTATTACTGGTCTTTTGCTGGATCTCTCCAGTCTCTCATAGAGTGTTTTAGCATCTCTGAATTGCAATCCTAGTTGTGACTGAAAGATGGAGATGTACAAATGCAAAAGTTTTAAGTTAATAAATATTGCTGACCCCTTCTAGCTTTCGGAAGAGATTTAGTTTTAGGCAGCCTTGCAAGTTTTCGAAGATGGTTTTCTGTTGCTTATTTGCAGGACAATTCATTACAAACTTATTGGTCAAATTCCCCATTGAAAAGGCAGTGATGTCTTCATTGGCTATAAGCACCCCAGGTCTAGCCATGTATGTAAGGAGGGGCTGAGTGCAGCTTTGGCATGCCAGCACAGGCATGTAAGGAATTGCATTGACTCCATGTGAGACCTCAGGCATCTGCTGGTGAGAGGTTCCTAAGAGCAAAGTGAGCTCATGTTAGCTGTTTCAGGGTGAAGCTGATTTTTTTTTTTTTTTTTTTTTTCCTTGGGGGAACCTCTGTTTTCTTGCTTTAGAGAGCTTGGATTGACATAGGAAAAGTAGGAACTGTAAAAAGAAGGTTACCTTTGCCAGATTTGAATGAGGAGAGGAAGCAGACAGGACACTGGTTCTTACATTTTTTTTAGTACTTTGTCTGTAGCCCATAGTTGCAGAAGAAAGGTGAGTATTCAAGTTAGCTACAGCAGAAGGAAATGGCTCCTGTGTAACCTGTTTATGGCTCATTTAAAAGTAGGTCTATAAACATCTGAAAAGGCTATTTCTGTTTGTGTCTGTTTGTACTCCTTGGCTTCACCGTCATGCTCTACAAACACATCTTTGTACGTTTATTTGTTCTTTCTTACATTCCTTTTCACTTTTTCCCAAGGGTTTCAGAGAACTGTGGCCATCGCGGATTCCAACTATAACTGGTTCTATGGGCCGGAGAGCCAGCTGGTGTTTCTCGACAAATTTGTCATGCGCAACGGCAGCGGGAACTGGTTGGCAGAGCAGATCAGAAGGAACCGAGTGGTGGAAGGCCCGGGGACACCATCCAAAGGGCAGAGGTGGTGCACTCTCCACACTGAATTTCTCTGGTATGAAAGGGAACGAGTGGGCTCAAAAGGAACCTGACAGCTGTTTGCTGTTAGTGATAATTCATTGTCTTTATGTTTGTACTGTAGAAGCAGAGGTCAGGTTGGCCATGCGCAACCCAGAGAGTCATTAGGCTCAGAAGAACTTCTTCACCTGGCATAGATGCACAGTGCATGTTGCTACAGGGAGCACCTTGGTCTTGTCCTACATCTGCTTTTGTGTTTTCCTTCCAAGGTCTATTGCCTTTATAGAATACAAGCAGTTCCAAAAGGACTGAAAATTTGCCTGCATTTATTCTTCAGTTTATCTGGTCTCCTCTAATGTTTTTTAATCCCGTTGTGCTTTTTAGTAATTAATTTGGTGAATATTTAAAGCATAGTTTTCTTTTAAAAGCTATAGGTAATAATGTAAGCTTTCTTTTAAAAGCTAAAGTAACGTAAGCAGTAAGGCTACTATTAGTTTTTGCACATTAATTTGCAAGTTACGCTTAGAAAAATATAATGATAGATGACTAGGTCCGTATTTTCCATGTAATTTACAGCTTTGCTAACTTGTATGTCAATCTTCTAAAGGTAAGAAATGAAAAGATTCAAGAGGCTTTAGATATACATACAAATTCCCTCAGTCTGTGGAGAGAGTAAGTGCACTTTTGAGGAGTCACTGTAGCTCTATTTCTCTCTCTTTTGTATTATTGAATATATATATTGTTTTGCATTTATGATATGCACACTAGGATGCATGTGTATTAGGCTCCAAGCACCCTTCATCTTGTTATTTGCAAAATACAGAATCTCTCCCCTTCAACCCCATTCCGTCATTCTTTTCTCCTGTGTCTCCATGGAAATCTTGGGAATGTATACTTAGAAAATTCTTTCTGATGTCAAAGGGAAAGAAATTTTTAAAAGCACCTGAGTGGAAAAAAAAAAAGAAAAAGAAAAAAGAAAAGAATTATCTGAATATTGCAACGGTTGCCTTTTCCCTGTGCTGCAGTGTTGCTCTTGTGATGAGCGTGTTCCCTTGCATTAAAGTCTCAGGAAAGAGGGCTGCTTTTAGGGGAATCTCCATCAAGGACCACTAGATGTAGCGCAGGCTCCCTGCACTGGCTGGAATTACCCAAAGCCATGTGTGGGACATGAGCTGTGATGTCTAGGGCTTGACAGACAGAGGCTCCTGGTTAGCTGTAGAGAATAAATCTGATGAGGAACAGTCTACATAAATATTACTGGGCTTAATGATGGTTTTGTTTATTTTGGTTGCTTAAAAAAAATGCCAGAAGGTTAGGTTTTGTTTTCCATGGTTGTTGATGGGTTTTTTTGTTTGTTTTAACTCTTGTGGATCAAATAAAACAAAAATTATAAGCATTGTAACCTTTTCTAGATTAACACTTCTTTTTAACCAAATGTCTTAGATCTTATAATTTATACAAGAAAGCTGTGCAAATTTTTCTTCAGCCTAGTTGGAGAAGGAAACTGACATACACTAAGTGATCTCAATCATAAAAATTTATCCTTTAAAATGACTTTTCATTAATTTTTAGTTTATTGCTAATTCTGTTTGGAGACTACAGACTTCTATAATCATCACTTTGGGGAAACAGATACTCTGCCTCTCTTGGTTAAGTAGTCAGTGAATAGGTGCAAATGTTGGTGTCTAGTGCAGAATAGACAGTGTCTACAGCCTGATCCTAATGTGCCTTTTTTAAAGATTTGTATTGCAGTCAGTAGCTTTATGATAAAAACGTGTCTATTTTGAAATTAGTGGTACGCATGTTTTTGCACTGCAGAAGGATTGCTTGCTTTAAATATGGACCAGATGCTTTCAGCTATTATTCTGTAAAAAGCACACAAGAAATTTGTATAGGGATTGGTATGATAAATATCATTGCCACTATATGATTAGTTCACTCGGGAAGCAGTGTGGGCTTTATATTGTTAGCTTGCTCCATGATGTAAATATTCAGTCAGGTTTTGAGTTCTATACAGGTGGTGATAATGGAATCAGTCAAGTCATTTTTAAACCCATTTTCCTTGTCTTTTTGGCAGGTATGATGCCAGTTTGCGCTCCATACCTCCGCCAGACTATGGGGTTCCTAAACTGCATTATTTTGAGGACTGGGGAGTGGTAACCTATGGAAGTGCTTTGCCAGCTGAAATCAACAGGCCTTTCCTTTCCTTCAAGTCAGGAAAGCTGGGAGGACGTGCAATATATGATATTGTTCACAAGAACAAGTACAAAGAGTGGATCAAGGGGTGGAGGAACTTTAATGCTGGCCATGAACACCCGGACCAGAACTCCTTTACTTTTGCTCCAAATGGCGTACCTTTCATAACAGAAGCTCTGTATGGGCCAAAATACACTTTTTTTAATAATGTGTTGATGTTTTCCCCTGCCGTGTCCAAGAGCTGCTTCTCCCCATGGGAAGGGCAGATTACAGAAGACTGTTCCTCAAAGTGGCTTAAATATAAACATGACTTGGCTGGTGACTGTCAGGGACGAGTGGTTGCTGCCATGGAGAGAAGTGGGGTGGTTTTTATCAGGGGAGAAGGAGTGGGTGCATACAATCCTAAACTGAAGCTGAGAAAATTACAAAGAAACCTCATACTTCTCCATCCCCAGCTTCTCTTGCTAGTGGACCAAATCCATCTAGAAGATGACAGCCCCTTGGAGGCAGCAACCAGTTTCTTCCACAATGTGGATGTGCCTTTTGAAGAAACAGTTGTTGATGATGTCCATGGGGCCTTTATTAGGCACCGTGATGGGATATATAAGATGTACTGGATGGATGACACTGGCCACAGCGAGAAAGCTACCATTGCCTCACGGATGTATCCCCGGGGCTACCCGTACAACGGAACGAACTACGTGAATGTAACGACCCTCTTGCGGCACCCTGTCACGAGGGCCATTTACCTTTTCATTGGGCCCTCTGTTGATGTCCAGAGCTTCACTGTCCGTGGAGATTCTCCGCAGCTGGATGTTTTCATTACCACCAGTGAGCACGCCTACGCAGTGTACCTGTGGCCTGTCGAGGATGGGTCCCGCTCTGCCTTTGCACAGGTTATTGCAGACCGCCAGAAAATTGTCTTTGACCGAGCTTCTGCCATTAGGAGCTCTGCAGTGCAGGAGGTGAAGGACTACGTAGGGATCGTGGAGAGGAACCTGCAGCATTTTAAGCCTGTTTTCCAGCAGCTTGAGAAGCAGATCTTGTCCCGTGTACGCAACACAGCTAGCTTTAGGAAGACTGCTGAGCGCCTGCTGAGGTTTTCAGATAAGAGACAGACAGAGGAGGCCATTGACAGGATATTTGCAATCTCACAGAGGCAGCAACAGCAACAGCACGGCAGAGCAAAGAAAAACAGAAAGGTAGCCAAAGGCTACAAATTTGTTGATGCCGTTCCTGACATTTTTGCACAAATTGAGGTAAATGAAAGAAAAGTGCGACAGAAGGCACAGACTCAAGCACAAAAAGAGTTGCCTATAGATGAAGACGAGGAAATGAAAGATCTTCTGGATTTTGCAGATATCACTTATGTGAAGCACAAAACCGGGGTGTCAATCAAAGGCCGATCAGGGCTGGCACAGATGGTGACGACTGCTCGAAGTAGTGCCCCATCAATATCAGCTTCTTATACCCGCCTCTTTCTAATTCTCAACATTGCTATTTTTTTTGTCATGTTAGCAATGCAGCTCACATATTTCCAGAAGGCCAAGAGACTGCATGGCCAGAGATGTCTGTATGCAATACTTTTAGTAGACAGCTGTATATTATTGTGGCTGTATTCTTCCTGTTCTCAGTCACAATGTTAGCAGAAGACCTCTACTAGTCGACCAGTTTATGGTCATATACGTCTATGCAAAAGCATTAACCCTAATAGGGCCAAAGTTTATGTTCTTTTTTTCTGAAACATTCCAAAAACAGCTA